CTTGATTCAGCTCACTGTGCAAGGTACCTCACCTGCCCCACATTTCCAGCCCCTGCCCCAGGGACCCTGGGTCTCACTGCCAACCCCCTCAAGAGCAGGGACGCCACGCACACCTGGTGGAGGCTGACAGGAGACAGCTCTGGGGAAAGCCTCTGTACATGCTCCCTCCTGTGCAGAGTGAGGCGATAGCATTCTTCCAGGCGCACGGCAGACAGCGAGGTTTGCAATGGCTGTGGTCCCTGTAGAGCACACTGCGGCTCCCACCAGTGGGGGGCCTGGGTTTGTGGGGCCAGGCCCCGGAGGAGGTGCGGGAAGGGAAAGTCAAGCTGGGAAAAGTTGGGAATTCTGCATGGGGGATAGCAACTCTGAGGTGGAAAGGGGCCAAGGAAGAGACGGAAACAGAGCAGGAACCAAGCAAGGCCCCCTCTGCCTCTGAGCCCTGCTGACTGGCCCCCACCCCCACCCCCATCCTGCCTTGCGTGAACTCCAGGGTTCCAGGGCCCTTGGATAGACCACAGGTGACACCAATACCCCCGGGGAGGTCCCTGGTCCCTTGTGGGGGTCGGCAGGAGGCCAAGCTTCCTGCTGCCATCCTCACTGCTGCCCCCTTCCCCTGCCACATCTCAGAGCCCCCCGACCCCCCAGAGCTGGAGATCCGGGAGGTGAAGGCCCGGAGTATGAACCTGCGCTGGACCCAGCGATTCGACGGGAACAGCATCATCACGGGCTTTGACATTGAATACAAGAACAAATCAGGTGGGTGAGGGGCGGGCCCGCTGTGGCCCCTGGCACCGCGTGCCCGGACATGCCCCTCCGGGGGGACAGCCCCTGGGCCGCAGGGCTGCCCATCTAAGGCGGACACACCAACATCTACCAGTGCAGAAGCTCCTGTGTCTTCCAAACGGAGAGAATTGGCCTGGCTAGGAACCCGGGGGCAGATGGAGGGACCCCCAGCTGATGGAGAGGGGGTATCAGCCCCTTCTTCTCAGGACTATGTTTGGGCAGGTCCACAGGGTGGTCTGATTAAAAGCAATTTAAAGGCCCTGAGCCAGGGACTATGGGCTGTATCTGTGGCGTCAGAGACATCACAGGTTTAACTGGGTCATCTGGGCACTCCTGGTTTGGGATAATGGGGATACTTGAAAGTCAGAGAGCTGGTTCTTGCCAAGAGTGGATCACTGGGGGTTGGTAATCCCTGGAAAAGCTTAGATCTAGCTTCTTCCTCTAAGAAGCCCTACCAGACCCCTCCCTTGGGACCCTAACTAGCTTCTGTGAGGCTGCTCGACCCCGTCAAGCACTGTGGAGCAGAGTGAACAATGAGACCCAGGGACCCACAGTCAGGTGGCAGGAATGGCAAGGAGAGTGCCTCAGAGGGATCAAGAAGCCTGGAGTGGACCAAGCCAAAAAAGAACCATACGCGATCATGTTTGTGTCTGTGTGACTGTCTCTAGAAGGTACATGAGGAACAGGTGACAGAGGGCAGCCCCTGAGAGGGCATCTGGGTGGCTGCCACCAGGAGGGACGAATGAGAAACATATTTCCCCTCTGAATTCTTTCCTACCTTCAGAATTCAAGACCATAAGCCCATATAAGCTTTTCAAAATAATTTTAAAATAAAACACAGAAAAAAAGTCTGGAGAACTCAACCCTCTCCAGCCCCCCTCCCCCCCACCAACTCCAATGCATCTTTCAGGTCTTACCATTGATCCAAGGTTTTGTTTTCCTCAGAAGCCTTCCGGACCCTTCCTCTCTTCCATAGTACAGTACATGGTCACTGGCCAGCTGGCTGTCCTCTCCTCTAGCGTGACCGAGTCCTAGTCTCTGCTGCTTTCCCAGCACCCAGCCCGGAATCCACAGCAAAGCTCAGAGCTGTGTTCCTACTCTGTCCAGGGCACTGCGTTCATCACCCTTGATACAGGTTTCTACAGGGAGGAGCCCTGCCCTCAGAAGTTTACAGTCTGGTTGGGGAGAAAAGTCCACTTGTAGCCAGCCACTCAGGAGGTCACCCTCAGTGCAGGACGAGGGCCGCAGAGAGAAGGAGGGGTCATCAGGGAAGCACCTCTTTGGTCCCTGTTGACATTGCATTGAGCTGGGAGATGGTTGAAAGATAATCGGCTTAGATTCAGGGCAGGGGGAAGGGGCAGCCCTAGCAAGGAGCCCTGTGCTCCAGGCAGCAGCATGTCTAGCAGAGCGTTCACAGTCCAGTTCCAGGGCAATTAGATTAAAAAGTGCTCAGGACTCCAGGTTGGGAGGGGGCCTCAGGGCTGAGCTTTTACTTTGTTGGGAGGGTCATTGAAAGCCACTTACAATGTCTGAGGTCCCAGAGAGAGACTTAGGCAACATGGCACCTTGGAAAGATTCAGCTGGCGTCAACGGGGAGGAGGGGTATCCAGGAGGTGAGCAAGCGAGCGGGCTGCCCGCAGCCCCGCAGCTGGGACAGGTGATGAGCAGCAGCCGACCTCGGTGGAGACAGAGGGCACGGAGAGGAGAGGAGCCCAGCTGTGTCCATCTCACACCTCAGGACTTCCAGGAGCCAGATGAGAAAGGAGGGGTCTGTATGCAGGCCAACGTCTCCCTGCCAGGCTGATAAGACTGGCAGGACTCTGCTCCTGTCGGGGGTAGGGAGTGGATGCCTGGCTGTCACTCATGCCCCTCTCCCACTGCTCCTTGTAACTGTCTCCCTGCCCTCTTCCCCCATGCTACCCTGTTATCCACCCTTCCCCTCCACTGACCACCCTCTAATGTGTGGAAACTTTTCCTGGGGCACTGCTCAGCAAGGCAAAGCTGAGAACATCACATATCTGGAGAGCAGGGCAGAAGGGGAGGTGGGCAGGAAAGATGCTATTTTCAGAGCTCAGCCATGTCTTCTCCCAGTCCCCTTGGGCTCTCCTGAAAGATGAAGAACTGCCATGCCCCACCCCAGAGCCAGAGCCGGGGCGCTAGGATGGGTGGGCAGGGTGGAGGGGAGGGTGATGAAAATTCAGCCTCAGACTCTCCCATCCACAAGGGCTTTTCACCTATAAAAGACGTAAGTCACAGGATCAAGAGCACAGGGAAGCCAGTTGGTCCTTTCTCCTGCCTTTGGGTAGGACTCCTCCAGACCATTCCACTCAGATGGGCATCTATTCTGGCATTTAGTTTCCATCAGAACCACAGTGAATTATCACTGGAGACAGGCGGAGGCTGTGAACACAGCAGAGCTTCCTCATCTGTGAGATGGGAACAGTAATGCCTACCTTGGTGGGATTGTTTTAAGGATTAAAGAGAAAGCACCTAGCACAGAGCTACATTAAACTTTTAATAAATGTAAGTTCCTCTCCTCCTTCTAACTCAAGTACCTCATGTGGCAAGTTATAGTCCTGTGGGACTTGCAGGCTGAAATAATTTATCTGTCAGTCAGCAACATGTATTGAGTGTCAGTAATTTTTTTTTGCAGAATCATGCACCAGCCATGTGGTAGGGAAAGAAAAAGAGGAGACAGTGTTGCCCTTGGAGCTTACAATGCAGTTGGAGTGAGACCATACATTGTGTACACAGGCAGGTGCATACCCAGGTGTGCACATGTGCACCCACGCACATACTTTCAGAACCATTACAAAGCAATATCCAATCATGTGTAATACACCACAGACTGAATTACATGAGAACTGAAAAAGGTATCCTAGGGAACGGATGGCTGACTCAAAGGAAGGAGGGGCATGTGTGTGTGTGTCTGTGTGTCTGTGTCTATGTCTGTGTCTGTGTGTGTCTAAGTAGATCTTCCACCTGCACATGGAATAGTGGAACAATTCTCAAAGCAGAAGACTTGGGTTGACCAAGTGTCAGAGCTGTGTGATCTTCAGCAAGCTACTTAAGGTCTTTGGACATCTCAACCTATTAAATGGAGATGATAAGACATAATTCAGGATAGTTGCAAGGATTACGTGAATGTGGTAACTTATGTGGGCATGCCCAGCACAGAGCCTGGCACAGCCTCACCCTCCAAGGAGCTCCATCCTGTGCCTTTACTCTCCCTTCCCCTCCTCCTCCTGCCACAGACCAAACTCATCCTGGATCTGGACCGCCTAGTCCTGACCCCCTTCTTTGTCACAACTGTGCCTTTGCCAGGCTTTCTGCCATGTTGCTCATCGTGTTAATTTTCCAAGGGAAATTACTAAGTCTGCCCTTTCTAAGCCATCCCACTCACGCTGACTTCTCCTGGCCCCAGGCAGCAGAGTAATAATACATGAATGCTGAATGATAAATAGCACCGTCCACACAAATCTATCAGATGGCGCTGTGCAGATTTAAAAATGCAGATGCCACATTTCGCCCCTGTTCCCCAAGCAAGGAGCAGGGATGGGTTCTTTGAGGATGGCCTTTCAAGGCCAGAAGGCAACTTTGTGGTGCGAGCCGTCAGCCACCGTGGGGTGAGCCAGCCTGGTGTGGCATGGCATGGTGTGGCATTCTGTGTGAGCTGGAGTGGGGCTGTGACCCAGGGAACCTCTTCTCAGTGCTGCGGAGAGATTGCCATGTTGGGCTCAGAGCTGTGATGCAGGGAGGAAATCAGAGATGCAGAATGGATTTGTTTCCCAAGCGCAGGCAGCTGAATGCTCCAGATGTGGCTTTTGTCCAAGCTGCTCCCCCTCCACCATGAACGTGTCTCCCAAAAAAACCGAAGGCCCCAGGTCCCCTCACAGCAAGCAGCCCACAGAGTAGAAGGCACTGACATCTCCCCAGCCACTTCCTTATTTTTTAAGAAGAATATTTTGCATCATAAGCCCTTTGATGAAGAAAGGGAGAGAGAGCCCTTAATGAAATATGTTAATCTGGGTAAGCCAGGCTCATATGAAAGGGAATATTAAAAGAGACAATATTCGCCAAAGCCAGCTCAGTACTCTGAGAGCTGAAAAGGAAGGCGAAGAAAATAGGGCCCCTAATTTCAGCTATTCAGGTCAGAGAGATGGCAGTGATCAAGTTGGGAAATCAGCTAGAGCCCTCCAGATCTGACTCTGATGCATCAGCCTGGGAGGCTGGGGGGAGAGAGCTGTTTTGTGCCAACATCAAAGCTGATTTGGGAACACAAGGTCAAATCCACCTGCAAACGACTGGCAAAAGCAGAAAAAAGGGGGCCACTTTCTGAGATATCCCCCAACCTTCCTATGATTGGCGGCTGAATGAAACAAGGGAGGGGAAGGCAAAGGGTACTTATTCTGTCTACAGAATGCAGAGGAACTGTCAGTCCAGAGTCCAGGACAACAAAGTGGCTCTAATCTAAAACAATTGGTGGGTTTTAAGCACCCATCACATGCCAAGTGGGGGAGATGGGCAAGGTTTTAGACATGGGTTCCTGCCTTCAAGGAACTTAGTGTCTCCTTGGGCAGTTGCCATGGAAACAGTGTGCCATCAGAAGAAGTTACTGTTTAATGAAGACGGGTTCTAAATGCTGTGGAGTTCAGAGAAGAGTGGCAGGGGACAGATCTTAACCCAAGTCAGGTTAAAAATTTTTCTTCTTATCCCAAGAGCAAAGAACCATTGAAGAGTTTTATTCAAGAGGATGTCAGTACAAGGTTTGTGTTTGGGGTGATCACTGTCAATGCCAAGAGTGTTTGGCCTGCAAGAAGTACTCAATCATATTTATAGAATGAATCATGGCTGAGTGTGGAGGGCAGGTGGTAGGGGGCACACTGGGTTCTGGGAGGCTGGCTAGTTAGGGTGTTATTTCTCTTGTCAACATGAGAGATGACAGTGACTTGGCCTGGGGTAGGGCTGGAGATGAAGAGAAGTGGAGAGATTCAAGACACACATGGAACTCAAAAGCTATAGGACTTGATAGGGAGAGAGAGGGAGAAGTCAAGACGAACACCGAAGGCTTGGCACAACATGATGGATGGTGGTGCCATTTCCTGAGACAGGGAACCTAGGAAGGTGACGAGTTTACAGGGTGTACGGTCAAGACTCCTGTCTTGGACGTGTTGAGTGTGAGGTGCCTTTGAAACAACCAAGAGGAGACATCAAGCAAACAGTTGGCTGTTAGGGTCTGGAGTTCAAAGGAGAGATCAGGCTGGATATGCATCTGTGCGTTTTCTGTGTGTAGATGGAAATAGGAGCCACAGGTGGGGAAAGTGTAGGGAAAGAGAGGAGAGCCTAGGATGGAGCCTTGAAGAATTCGAATTATTAATGGTAAGGTAAGAAGAGGCACCTGCAAAGCAAACAGAGAAGAAGTGACCGAAGAGATAAGGAAAATCTAGAGAGTGTTTTATTAGGAAGCCCAAGAGAAGAGTATTTCAGGAAGGGAGCAGTCTAAGTGTTGAACAGACCTGAAAGGCCAGCTGAGAGGTTGGGCCTGATGACATGGGCATCATCTACACCGTGGAGATATGGTTCTGATGTCAGGGGAAGCTGTGAGGAGTAAACAATGACCCGCACTACGCCTGGCACATCACAGGTGCTTGGTAAATATTAGTGCCTTTTTTTTTTAGCCCCTCTGTCTTCAGACACATCATATGGGTCTCCTCCCCCTGGCTGCACTCATCAAAAATGAATGCACTGACTTGTGATCACTGTCCCTCTCCTATAAACACGGGCAAATCAAGTATGTTGTGTGAGCTGGCACCAGCTCCCAGGATGCCGCAGAGAGAAGTGAACACCTGCCTCTGCATCACTAGCCCATTTCCTCCCAAACCAAAGCGGTGCCCACAGCAGGTAGGAGCCTGCATATTGGCAGTTCTGGCTTAACCTGCCAGCCACAGTGACTCTTGGGCAGTTAGGGTGTTTTAAAAAGAATGAGAAAATAATGTTTTTCTGAGCATCCACATTCTGCTGTTTGTGACTTTGGCTCATGAAACCAAAGAATTAAATGCAAAACTACAGATGGGGAGCTGGGCCAGTGCCCTTCACAGATGCCAAGTCTGTGCGGCTGAAAGTGGTGTTTTGAAAAACGTCAGGACCTCAATTAACCAGAACCTGGGAGGATGGGGCAGTCTCTTCGGGTGAGCCGATTCTCCTGATTTATCAGGCATTAGCTTTAAAAAAAAAAAGGCTTCTTAAAACTCTTTCTAGAATGTGCTAGCCTCCCTCCCTGACTTAGGGATTAAATGGTAGTGAATACAGTTTAATCTTTCCTACTGAGAATTTTCAGGATCCTCTGCTGTGGATTTAAAAGACATGGAAAATTAGACTGAATAGTGACATCAGGATGTGCCCTGGGAAGATTTTTAAGCCCCACTATCAGCTAGTTTCCTGGGGCTTTGCTTTTTTTTTTTTCTCTTTTCAAAGCAAAGTGCCAATAACATAATCTGGTTATGAATTCTGAGTTCAGAAAGTCCTAGCTGAGGCATTGCTGTAACTGCAACCCCTTCCCATTTCTCTCTGGAATCCCCTGGTAGGCACACAGCAAAAATATATGGAATGAATGACTGGATTCCTCTGGAGATCTAGAGTGTTTGCTGTCACAGTATCCCTGAGTGGTATTTATCCCATTCTATAATTTTGCTAAACATTAGCCCTGGAATGGGCTGCCAGTTCCCCTGGATGAATTGGGAACGTGCTCATCCCTTTGTTGGCTTCTGACTCTAAAAACTCAGAGACCATTCTCTTGCTGATGAGACAGGGTAGGGTTTGGGCTAGGGACTCTGGCACTAGGTTTGTCCTCCTGACAGCCCGAGCCACACTCAAGACCACCAGCACACAAATGCACAGGGAAAGGAAATACAGAAGCATACATAGAGAGGAGGAGAAAGGGGGAGAAGACTTGGCTTCCTCCTTGGCACTGGGATCCTGGGAGGATGGAGTGTCTCACATTTACAACAGGTCACTGACGTAGTATGAGAAACAAGGAACAAAGACACTTGACAATCAGACCCTCAGAATAGCAAGCAAATGGGGATCTTGGAAGGGACCTTGGGAAATATCTTGTCCAACCCCATCTGAGGTTTGAGCTCACCAGCCGGCCCAGAACAGAGAAGGGTCAAGCTTCCTGACTCTCCAGCCATTGCATTTGCTGCTCACATCCTCAGGCAGCCCTTGGTCCCTTGAGCTTCATGGAATAGAACGCTTGCACACTCTGTGAGCTTGCTGAGGTCTGTGCCCTCTTGCTGCAGTCTGCGTGAGCAGGACCTCTCCTGGGCATCAGTGTTGAGACGGGAATGTGCTGAGGTGAGGCTGGGGAGGGGTTCTGGAGTTTGCCTGGCTGTGTTTAGTAATGGGTGTCCTCTCTCCAGATTCGTGGGACTTCAAGCAATCTACACGTAACATCTCCCCGACCATCAACCAGGCCAACATCGTGGACTTGCACCCAGCATCTGTGTACAGCATCCGCATGTACTCCTTCAACAAGATTGGTCGCAGTGAACCAAGCAAGGAGCTCACCATCAGCACTGAAGAGGCTGGTGAGCACCTTGCCCTACCACCCTTACCCATGGGCTCAGGGATCAGAGACATCTGGGGCCCACACCCACCCTGTCCACTGGCAGTAGGCTTACAATTAAAAGAGGAGAGGGGGTAGATTCCAAGGTGTTTGCTAGTGTCTGCCTCTAGGCCTTGGGTCTAATCTTTTCTGGATGAGGTTCTAGATATGATGCTTTCAGGAGCTGTCCGTGGTCCTACCCAACTCCTCTGGCCCCAGCCTGTCTAGAAAGGACAAATATGCTAGATCTGCAAAGGATGGGGGTACTAGTGCCCTGGGTTATTCTCTGTGACTTTTGTCCTGGAGTTTTCCTGAAAGTTTAAGCAAGATCACCCTTGCTGTATTTACTCCCCTATCTGTCATTGCAAAATATAAATTAATGCAAAAAAGCACAAAAACATATATGTGCCATTTTATAAATAATAATAAAGCAACAATTAGTATAGTCAGTGGTCACTGTCACTTACCAGAGCTTCTCCTTATGCCCCTTCTCAATCATAATCCCATGCCTCTCCCTGAAATAACCAGTTTCTCAACTTTCTTGCTTTTCTTTTTCATACTATCACCACAATGTATGTACACATCAACCGTACAGTTTAGTGTTGCCTATTTTCCCATAGAGAGTATGCATAAAGTCATACTGCATAAGTTCTCTTGCATCTTCCTTGTTTTGATCGATGTATTTTTGTGAGTGTCATGTCATTGGCACAGCTGTATCTCGTGTGCATTTTCACTTCCCTCAGGGGATATAAGCAGTTGTGGAATTAGAGTCGTCAGATGGACATACTTCAGCCTTCAACCAAAAAAAAACAAACTAAAACGTCTCCCAAAGTGTTGTACCCACTTTCTCTTTCATGATTAGTGTGTGAGTGTTCCTGCCACTTCATATCCCTGTTCACGTGTTGCACTATCAAACTTTAAAAAATTTTTGCCAGCCTGCTGGATGTAGAGCAGTATCTCATGGTCATTGCTATATTCTCAGCAAATTCTGGAGAATGAAGAGGAAATTTAAACCCCATGATTGTTTCAGGGGGGTCTCAAACAAAGATTCCCTGCTTCTGTAGACAAGCATTTCCTTTCTCCCTAGCAGTCCTCCAGCTCAAAGATAGGAACAAGAACATAGGACTCTTTTCTTCCAAGACTTGACTTGTAATGTTGTTTCTCCCCACCCCGCCCCAGCTCCTGATGGGCCCCCCATGGATGTAACCTTGCAGCCAGTGACCTCACAGAGCATCCAGGTGACCTGGAAGGTAAGTGAGGTCGGCCTTCCTAGTAGATACATAGAGCCATACTTCCCTCCAGATTCAGATCTGGACTCCAGGGCTTTCCTCCAAAACTGGGAATGAAGCCTGGAGACCAGTCCCCAAGTCTTGTCTGCATCCTAGCTCTGGATGCATTTCCTAGAAATACTCCAAGAAGCCTGGAGGTGGGGCGTGGGGATGGATAAGTCTGTAAAACACTGAGACATTTGGCTACAAAGCTCCAACCTGGAGGTCGATAAAAATTTAGAATCAGATTTATTTCTCCAAAGTCTCATAATGAAAAATAAAATTGATTAGAAAGTTAGAACTTCAGAATGAACCAGCCCGTCAATAAATTTTGGGCTGACTTCTCAGGGGATTTTTTTTTAACACCAAGAAACAGATTAATGAAAAATAAAGATTCACTTGAAAGATAAGTCACTTCATTTTAAGACTCTTTCCATGAGATGGATCACCACTGCTTTATGACATAAATTTGCAATCAGCCCTATTGATTTCTTAATGCTTCAGAGAAATATTGTTAAGATTGATTTAAATCCTGAGTATGCCTGTTGTTGGGGGAGCAATATAGGAGAGAGAGAGAGAGAAGAAAGGAGAAGGGGAGAGAGGAGGGATGGGGGAGGGAGGGAGGGAAGATCTGTCAAGATTTGTATGAATGTGTAAATATCTATCTGTATGTAGCAGGGTGGGCCTGAATGCCTGTCCAAGGCCTCTGCCAGTGTGTGTTGATGTGAATGAAGGTAGTGTGAGCTTGTGTGTATCCTGCATATTACAGGTATATATCATGGTGCAGGTGACTCTGGGTATCCAGACATGTGTGTCATTGTGTAACGATGTGTATATCAGTGTGTTTCGATATGGAAGTGCATCTGTAATCTGAAAGTCTGTGTCAGCATGAAGACGGGCATGTTGAAGACACGTTTGTATCTATAACAGATGTCTGTCTGAACGTGTGAGTGGGCAGATCCCAGACTCACATTCAGAAATTCGCCCACTTACAAGCTAGCAAACAGGACTGCCCAAGTGCAGAGAGAAACATTATTCAGACATTAACAAAAAGTCAAGTCAATTAAATACACACACACCTATTTAGTGAGTTCAAAACAATTATGTTAAATTAAAAACTTCCTTTTATTGAGTTAACAGTGAGCTTAAAAATGCAGTTCATTTAAAACATTCATTCAATTTAAAAAAACTGCTGTTTTACTAACTTAATTGTTTTTGATCGCACTATTTTTTAGTACAATAAAAGGTGGGCTTTTAAATTAACTTCGTTGTCTTTAAAACCCTGATTCAAGCTGTTTTTATATGCACTGGGTTGTGTTCTCTCTCAGTATGTAGATGGGCAAGTCCCCTCATTAAAGGAGCTGGTTTCTGTTTGTGGGTCTAAGTGTTTCTGGCTGTGGGTATTTGTGGATTGGGATGTTTGCTTTGATGGGTCTGGCTGTGTGTGTTCATGGTTCTGGATATGAGGGGATATATCAGGATCCTGTGTGTGTGTGTGTGCGCGCGCGTGCGTGATCATGTATGAGAATGTCTGCGTCAGTGAGTGTTTACCTGTTGGTGTTTCCTCTCTATGTGTGTGTCTGGTTGTATATCAGGGCTCAAGCTGGGGGTGAGAGCATGTTTCCAAGCCCCCAGACTGATGTCAGTGGAGTTTTCTCCATTCGCCTGGCTGACCGAGATCAGCCCTTCATTCTGGCCAGCCCAGGCAGAGCTCAGAGATGCCCTCTTCTCACCTGCGTGTCCTTATCCATCTCCTGTCCCTCCATCCAGGAGCGAGCTTCAGACCTCAGTCCTCAACACACGCCTTAGCCATTGGCCAGGGTGTTCTAGGGTAATCCAACCCCCAGAGGGGCTGGACCTACACCAAACTCAATAGCTCTTTTTTTTTTTTAACTTCTGGTAAAATATACACATGACTTTGTTTACTTAAAACTGATCATTGTAACCATGGTCATGTGTACAGTTCAGTAGCATTAAGTACCCAGCATTGAGCACCCGTCACCACTATCCATCTCCAGAGCTTCTTCACGATCCCAAACAGAAACTCTGTGCCCATTAAACACTAACTCCTGACCAACCCATCCCAAGCCTCCGGTAACTTCTCTTCTACTTTCTGTCTCTCTAAATTTGAATGTTCTAGGTACCTCAGAGAAGCGTCATTACAGTATTTGTCCTTTTGTGTCTGACTTATTTGGCATAGTATTTTCAAGATTCATCTAAGCTATAGCCTGTATCAGGATTCCATTCCTTTTTAAGGCTGAATAATATTCCACTGTATGTATATACTGCGTTCTGTTCATTCATCTGTCTATGCACATATGGGTTGCTTCCACCTTTGGCTACTGTGACTAATGCTGCTGTGAACATGTGTGTACCAATATCTGTCTGAGTTCCTGCTTTCAATTCTTCTGGGGTATATACCAAAGATGGAATTGCTGGAGCATAGGGTAGTTCTACACTTAACTTTGTGAGGAACTGTCAAACTGCTTTCCACAGTGGCTGCACCATTTTACTTTCCCACCAGTGATGCACAGGGGTTCCGATTTCTCACATCCTTGCCAACACTTGCTACTTTTCGTTTTTTGATAATAGCCATCCTAGTGGGTGTGAAGTGGTGTCTTGGGACTCTCTCTTCTTACAGAAGCCAATTGCTTACCTCCTTCTCCAGTCTGGTTACATTTTGTCTACTGTTGCATTTCTCCCAGGCCCCCAAACCGAGGCCAAATGATATCTCTATTCATTCATTCATTCATCTATTCAATGAGTCATTCATTCAGTAAATACGTACTGAGGGCCTGCTACATGCCAGGCACCATTCTAGATGCTGAGAACACAGCAGGAAACAAAAACAGACAACACTCCTCATCCTCATGGCACTTATATCCCCATGGGGACAGATAGTCAAAGACACAAGTGAAATAAACAGACTATCAGAAGGCGCTATTGCTGTGGAGAAAAAGAAAACCAGGAAGCAATGTAAGGAGTACTAGGCAGAGGGCAGGGAGCAATCTTCCCTAAAGAGCTCAAGGAAGGCCTCACTAAGAAGGAGGCATTTCAGCAAGGACCCCACAGAGGTGAGGAGGCAAGCCATGTGGATACCCAAGGAAAGAGTGTTCCCCTGCATGGAAATGTGCCTGGTGTGAACCACAGAGAAGCGTGTGCTGGACATAGGAAACATAGTGGGGAGGAGACGGGTCCAGGAGGCAATGGGGGCAGGGGGCAGATCATATAGGGCTCTGCAGCCATTGTAATGACTTTGGCCTTGACTCTGAATGAGATGGGAGCCCTTGAAGGTGCGGGAGCAAAGGAGTGACATGATCTGACTTTTTAAATTATTATTTATTATTATTATTATTATTATTATTATTATTATTATTATTATTATTAAAGTATAGCCAGTTTACAATGTTGTGTCAGTTTCTGGTGTACAGCACGATAGTTAGTCATATATATATATATATATATATATGCACACATATTCTTTTTCATTATAGGATACTACAAGATATTGAATATAGTTCCCTGTGCTATACAGTATAAACTTGTTGTTTATCTATTTTATATATGGTAGTTAGTATCTGCAAATCTCAAACTCCCAATTTATCCCTTCCTACCCACTTCCCCCTAGTAACCATAAGTTTGTTTTCTATGTCTGTGACTCTGTTTCTGTTTTGTAAATAAGTTCATTTGTCTTTTTTTTTTAGATTCCACATATAAGTGATATCATATGGTATTTTTCTCTTTCTGGCTTACTTCACTTAGTATGACAATCTCCAGGTCCATCCATGTTGCTGCAAATGGCATTATTTTATTCTTTTTTATGGCTGAGTGGTATTCCATTGTATAAATAAACCACAACTTCTTTATCTAGTCATCTGTTGATGGACATAGAGGTTGCTTCCATGTCTTGGCTATTGTAAATAGTGCTGCTATGAACATTGGGGTGGGTGTATCTTTTTGAGTTAAAGTTCCCTCTGGATGTATGCCCAGGAGTGGGATTGCTGGATTATACAATGGAGTGAAGACAGTCTCTTTAGCAAATGGTGTTGGGAAAACTGGATAGCTGCATGTAAATCAACGAAGTTAGTATACTCCCTCACACTATACACAAAAATAAACTCAAAATAACTTAAAGACTTAAACATAAGACACTATAAACCTCTTAGAAGAAAGCAGAGGCAAAACATTTGACATAAATCTTAGCTATGTTCTCCTAGGGCCGTCTACCTAATAAAAATAAAAGCAAGCATAAACAAATGGGACCTAATTAAACTTACAAGCTTCTGCAGAGCAAAGGAAACCATACGTAAAACAAAAAGACAACCTACGGAATGGGAGAAAATATTTGCAAAAGATGAGACTGACAAGGGCTTGATCTCCAGAATATATAAACAGCTCATACAACTTAATAAGAAAAAAAAAACAACAACCCAAACCAAAAATGGGCAGAAGACCTAAACAAGCAATCTCCAATGAAGACATACAAATGGCCAATAGGCACGTGAAAAAATGTTTACTATCGCTAGTTATCAGAGAAATGCAAATCAAAGCTACAATCAGGTATCATCTCACACCAGTCAGAATGGCCATCATTCAAAAGTCCACAAACAATAAATGCTGGAGAGGGTGTGGAGGAAAGGGAGACCTCCTGCACTGCTGGTGGGAATGCAGTTTGGTGTGGCTATTATGACTTTGGTTTTAAGAGCATCATCTCAGAATATCACTGTGTCTTTGTCTCCTCCCCACCCAAGGCACCCAAGAAGGAGCTGCAGAATGGAGTCATCCGGGGCTACCAGATCGGCTACAGAGAGAACAGCCCTGGCAGCAATGGGCAGTACAGCATCGTGGAGATGAAGGCCACCGGGGACAGTGAGGTTTACACCCTGGACAACCTCAAGAAGTTCGCCCAATATGGGGGTGGTGGTCCAGGCCTTCAATCGGGCTGGCACGGGGCCCTCATCCAGCGAGATCAATGCCACCACCCTGGAGGATGGTGAGGGCACCAGTAGAGGGCAGTGGGTACAGATCTCAGCTGTGGGCAGAGCAGGGTTACCAGGGAAGGCTTGGGGCACTTCCCTGTTCCTGGGCCCCACTATGGTCCTGTTGTCCACACAGGCTCCCTGGTTCCCTTCAGATCCCTTCATCTCCTCTCGTGCACTGGCTCCTCAAGGGATGCTTGGTCCACTTAGCACTCCAGGTCTCTCCATCCGTTGGATGGCTCTCTAACCATCACTTGCTGATGCTCTGCCCATCAGTCTCTTTTGACCTATTGGCCTGTCTGTGCACCTGTCTCACTCTCCATCTATGCTTCTTCCTCTTCTTTTTCCTCCTCCCTCCTTCTGGCCTCTCACTCATCTCTATCCCCAAGCACTTTCATCTGTACTCCGGGTCCTGTTTTCCCTCCCTTACAGCCTCCAGGTTGGAAACGCCTGGCTTCATCCTCAGAGATTGCCATTTAATTGTTCTGGGGGCACGAGGTTGGCTTTGAGAAGGAGCAGACTTCAGTAGCTCCAGAGCACTGGGGCCCTGGGGAAAAGAAAGATCACAAAAAGTTGCGTAGGATGCAAGGAGATACAGAGAATTTCCAGAGTTACACTGCTGTCAGCTCCTCTGCCCCCTCAACCATCCCACACCCTCACCATCAGCCTCTTCCCCTCCATGACGCTGGCCACCAGCCTGGCTGGATTGAGGAAGATCAGCTTGTTACCTCTTAGTACCAGCAGTACCAATCCCAGACAGTGCCCTGACACAGTGGTTCTCAAACCTGAGCACACAGCAGAGGACTGTAAACAGTTTGCTGAGCCCTCCTCCAGAGTTCTACTTCAGCAGTTCTGGGGTGGGGGCCAAAAATGTGCATTTCTAATAAATTCCCCAGTGATGCTGATGCTGCTGGTGCAGGGAGCACTTATGAGAACCATGACACTAACGGCCAGCTCATTACCCTAACAGGAGCCAAAGCTCACAGAGATTAAGAACCTGTCCAGAATTGCCCATCTAGTGAACTTCTTCCAGGTCAGGTCAAAAAATCCAGGCCTGACCATGAATCCCATACTTTCTACCTCACCACGTGGTTACCCTCTTGCTTGGGAGCAAGGCTGGATGTGGGACCAAGTGACACGGATGCAGGATGCTCGGGGAAGTCACGTCCAGGGCGAGTAGCTGCTCTGAGCCCACACCAGCATGCCTGACCAAACACTGAACTCCACCCACCAGGGCCGTCCCAGAAAACAGCCAGGCCAGGCCCGCCTTTGGCCTCCATCAGGGCCCCACCTCCCTTGCTTTGGGGGCTGCGAGGGTAGGAGGCGGAGGCAGGGCCTGGAATCACCAACAGGGAGAGATCAGCATGGGCCATGGAGTCATTTTCCAAACAAAGGAGGAGAAGGGGGAAGAAAGTTTCCAGCAGCATTTGCTCAGCAGTTTTTCATACTTAATTAAGGCCCTCGTTAGCCTGTCAGATCCTGATCGTTTCCTGGCAATATTAGCACTCCTCTTGGGGTATTCAAGGGCCCCTGCTTTAGCAATAGTGTCTTTTCCATAATTATATTACCTTCATTTTGTTCCAACGGGCGATCTGTATTAGTTTATTACACTGGGTCCCTAATTACATGGTGCTTATATTTTTACACCTAAGTAATATGAAACAATAATCATTCTCAAAGAGGATCGTTAGGATGATGTATTATCAGTTAAATGCTCGTAAAAATTAAGAGTTGCCTCTTGTGGGGCAACGGGATCTAATTACCTTCCATCCAGCCTGTGCCTCCTTTCTCCCACTCACAGCGAAGCAGACGTGGCCCTTCCATTTGCCCCCAGCTCCTCAGAAGCCAGTGGAAGTGCCACCAAAGTTGTCCCTAGCCGGGGTGGCTCCTTAGGGCCTGGTGTCACCACTGTCGTCTCGGAAAGGGCGAGCTGCAGCAGGGCCACCCCCAGGAGTGGGACTTAGGTTAAGCTCAGAGGTAGCTCTCAGACGGAGAGGGTTAAAAGTGGGGCGGACAACCCAAGTTGGTCTCTGAGAGTCTTTTCCCATCACCTGAGCCGTTTTGGTGTGTTCAGGTGCAGGCACGAGGGATAAAGATGCAACGACCCCCGAAGTCCTAAAGGTGTCTGCAGCACCTCTTCTCCCCTTCCCTGGGGTTGTTTGAGATCCTCTTTCCTTCCCTTCAGCGTGGCACAAGGACACAAGTGTCCCTAGAGCCAGGCCTTGGTTCGGACCCGTGCTCAGGTGTCACAGAGGGCTGGCAGCCATCAGATAAGAGCATCAGTTGCAGATCCCTCCAGGGCTTGGTCTTCTAGGTTCTGTTATGTTCAGCAGAGGGTCTCCCTGGTGCCCGCAGGTGCATCCCAGGGGCTTGTTCCCGGAGCTCATCACCTTCTTTCCCCAGCATTTACCCAGGACCAGGAACATGCCACCCAGAGCCCAGGAACCAAGTCTGTCAAGATCTCTGTTTACCCAAATCTCCAGGAAAGATTTGGTTCACTTCCCAGCCACTAGCCCAAAGTCTCCTGACTCACTAAGTCAGGAGGGGCTCCCACTGCTCTAACTCGAAGCTCCTCTGGCTGGGCCCCACCTCTGGACATGAACGTTGTGCTGTATCTCCCTGACTGTGCCCTTTGGCTCTCTCCCTGCCCCCTGCAGTGCCTAGCCAGCCCCCCGAGAACGTCCGGGCCCTGTCCATCACTTCCGACGTGGCCGTCATCTCCTGGTCAGAGCCCCCGCGCAGCACCCTCAATGGTGTCCTCAAAGGCTATCGGGTCATCTTCTGGTCACTCTACGTTGATGGGGGTGAGTCTAATGGGAGTGGCCTGCCCTGGTTTCTGACCTCCTGGAAAAGGAAGTTTCCACTGCTCAGCCGCCGAGGTTCCCCAGCACTGACCTGGCATCCCTCAGGCTGGGCCTGGCGTCCTCACCCTCTGGACCACGGCAGACTGCTGCCTGCCCCTGGCCAGGGCCTCTGCGGGGCTTTGCCTGTGCCAGGTCCCCAGCAAGGCGCCAGGGTGGGTCTGCCAGCACTTGTCCTCTACAAGGCACCCCGTGGTCCGGGGGTGGGTGGTTGTCAACTCAGAACCTCTTTCCTCCCTCTAAGACTCTAGCTGTCTCCTGGGACCTTCTCCCTAAGCTCATCTTCAAGCAAGTTCCTTGGCAGAGCCCGGATGATGGGTCCTCACTGAGCCTGAGGATGGCCTGGCCCTTCCTGGCTGCCGTCACTCCACCAGCCCCGCCCACATTCTCTGTGCGGGGTTCTTTGCAGGGAGGGTGTCCTCGATGACGCGGAGAATGTGACTGGGACTCAGCCCTTATCCTCTTGAGAGTTCGGGGTGCTGGCCCAGGAATGGTCAGGTGCAGGGGAGGCAGCCTCAGCCTCTCCTGAGTCATCCAGATGGAGCCACTGCCTGGGGAGAGCCGAAAGCCCAAGGAGGCGCTGGGCAGCACAGCGGGATGGTCATCTTCCGTCCACCAGGCGCAGACTCCCCTTCGGGTCCAAGTCACTCCTGGGGTCCTTTTCATGGAGAGAGGGTTGGGTGGAGAGAGGGAAATGTTGCTTGGAGAGATGGAACTATCCTATCAAGAGAGTATTGAGTTGAATTTGGCACAAGGTTGCCTAGGGGCTCTGGCCCCGCTGGCATTTGTCATTCACCCTGGTTGAGCCACTTGGGGAGGGATGTGGCCTGTGAGCCGTGCTCCAGATCTTCTCTGTCACCTTTAGGTAGAGGGTCCCCTTAGGAGCCACCACCACCATGGAGTCCAAGGCTGAGCCCAGTGGAGCAGGCCTGACCAGAGCCCAGGCGGCAGAGGGGCATTGGTGGGGGTACCGAGGCGTGGGCGGCCTGGGCCGCACTCAGAGGCTGCTTGTGTCCGGCAGAGTGGGGCGAGATGCAGAACATCACCACCACACGGGAGCGGGTGGAGCTGCGAGGCATGGAGAAGTTCACCAACTACAGCGTGCAGGTGCTGGCCTACACCCAGGCCGGGGACGGCGTGCGCAGCAGCGTGCTCTACATCCAGACCAAGGAGGATGGTGAGTGCTCTCCCGCAGCCCGCGTGGCATCAGCCCATGGGGCAGGCTCCCCGGGCCTGTTGCTGAGCACTGCCCTTGAGCTGTCCCACAGCTCCTTCTCCGAGGAGAAGGGTAAGAGCAGAGCACCATCCTTTCCCCTCTGATTTGCTGTATTTGGCTTTGAGGATGCTGGAGCCCAGCTTTGGGAGAACACAGCTTGCTGTAGGTGGTAGTCACATGCTCTGAGATTCTTGCATAAATATACAAGCCACTGTCACCCCCTCCCCCTGCAGCATTGGGTCAGAGGCCAGATAAAGCCTCTCCTCCCCACCCCCACCCCAAGATCATCTTTTTTGTGGCATCTGCTCCCCTGTAGGGTTCAGCCTAGTTTCCTCTGGATACAGATGGCAGGGGGAGCATCACCCCTCACATCCCGGGTTAGGGACTTGGCGGTCAACCCGCGGAGGCCCCAGAATGAGCCAGACCTTGGACTCTGGTGTTGCTGGGGGCTCTCAGGGAGGAAGTGAAATGTGCCTTTATTCACAGCTAATGATCTGGAAGCCCTTTCTTCCCCATACTGGGTACAGCTGGAAGAAAACCGGAGATAGAGTCAAACCTTAAGGGTAGAGTGATGAGGTCAGGTGAGGCTGGGAGCTGAGCCAGCCCAGGAGGGAACAGGTGGGGAGAAGAACCAGACTTCCCACCTGGGCCCAGAGCTGCACACCTCCGGGGGTCTGCCAGGTCCCGGAGGTGCCATGTATGACCATGTGCAGCTCTGGGCTCCTCTTCCACTTCCTTCCTCACCCCCCAACCCCATCGCTTAGTTGATTCTAACCTTCCTGAACCAGGTGCTATATTGTTACAAGAGTCTTTATATGAAGTGGCTGGCATACAGTGGGCACTTAACAAACAGTAACCATCATTGGCCCTTATGGCTTCCTTCCCACTCAGCCTCAGTTTTTTCAAAGGATACAGAGACCCACAGTCTAGATCCCACTCATCCACTTTGGCAGAAGGAGCTGGAGGGGTGAGGGGAGTTAAGAATGGGCTGGGAGTGATGGTGGAGAGGTTCCCAGCGCAGCCCAGTACTTGGCTCAGTGACTGGACCGGCTCGCAGCTCAGATTAATGCTCCCCACTTGCCGTCAGATCTGCCCCCTCCCCTGCTTAAGCGCTGAGCAATTAAATATTTACCAACCTGCCTGCCCTACATTTCCTGTCATTTGTCCCCCCATCAAGATTTCCTGGGATGGCTCCAGGCAGAGCCACCTGCTCTTGTGTGGAGATCGAACAGGGATGATGCTCAGAGCTGGCCCTTTCAGGGCCTCGGGGACACACACACACAGGCACCTTCCTGGCCTCTAGAAATTAACCGCCCAGACCCCCAGACTTCTTGTGTCCTATTCTGATGCAAGGCCTGAGCCATAAGCAACTCCACGTGTTTAACTGACCAAAGTGAGACCCCACGAGGGAATTCAAGGGTCTAGGACCACCATCCCTCCCCACAGGGAGCTGTCACCCTGAAGCTGCCTACAGAGCCACACACAGGGACATACACAGGCAGGGGCCAGGGACCTGGGGCAGCAGCTTCCCAGAGCAGAAGGGACACTGAGAAACACAGCAGATGTGTGTTCCCCAGCCCTGCCGCTTCTTGACAAATCACTTAAACTTTCTGACCCTCAGTTTCATCATAATAAAATGGGGACAGTGCCTCACTGAGATGTTGCAAGAAACTAAATAGCTGTAGAATCCTTTCTAAAATATCAAGGGCTAGCAAATGGTAGTTGCTTTATACCTACCAAGAGCTGGCAGTGAAATGACTGCTTCCGGTAGACCCAGGTACCCTGAGGGAAGGCTGAGCAGAAAGGAATCCACTGTCAGATGAGATGTTATCCAGAACAGGGATCATAGCTTGACACATGTGTGATATGCCATCACATACATGATTTAACCTTCCAGTCGCCCTATGGGTAGAGTATTGTTCCCATTTTAGAGATGAGAAAACTGAGGCCAAGAGGTAAAGCAACTTGCTGAAGGTCAAGAAGCTACTGGGTGGCAAACCAAGGCTTTCTTGCCTCTGTAGCCTCTATACTTCCTATCATACCACTTGTATCAGTGAGGAAGATTTGGGTTGTGAGTAATGTAACTAAAAAAAAGGCGTACGCAATAAGAGCACTGATTATCACACATAACAAGACGTCTCAAGTAGGGCAGCTCCAGGGTCGGTTAACCCAGTAGTTCCCATCTTTCCGCTCTGCCGTGCTTAGCCTGTCAGCTGTTCCTCCCGTGATTTCAAGATGACTGCAGCTCCAGGCATCATGCCAGACAAGACAGCTCCAAGTGAAAAAGGCAGTCTCTTCCTATGGGCCTCTCTTGGGAGTGAAAGAAACCTTTCCCAGAAACCCCCTCAACAGATTTATCCTCATTTCCCATCGGCCACCATGGGGCAGTATGCCTCTTGCTAAGCCAGTCACTGAAAGGAGAATGGAATTATCATGGCTGACTTACTCTAAGCATGATAAATCCTCTGGTGGAGGTGATAGAGACAGCTTTCTCTGAGGGGTGGAGGAGCATGGGTTACCCATGCAAAAGTGAGACTCCGTTTGCAAGGAATAGGAAGGGATGATGGCAGAGGGGTAGACGGACAACCATGCCTGCCTCACCAGTGCTGCTCCGACTCCACCATCTCCTCCCTTTTGCAGGCAGCAGTCATGACAGTTTTTACTCCCCTGACTTGGAAGGCAGACAGCCCCACGTTCCAGTTCCAGCTCTGCCATGGGACCTTGGGCACATATCCTAATCTGAAGACGCTCCCTACACACCACCACCACACCTCCTCAGAATTTTGCATTTTGTCAGAGGAAAACATTACCAGGAAATTGAGAGAAAAGCAAGACAAATAAAAGGATAAAACCCAAACATATAAATTCAAGCTCATTTCTTAAGTCCAGATCTCTCAGTCTGAGCTTGATTTCAGACTGGCTTGGCTGCAGTCAGTTTGTGAGCTACAAAACCTCTTGCCTACTGCTCACCTCCTTGGTGAATTAACAAATCTAACCAAGTGGCCTCAGAGTACAAAGTTTGTTTGGATTTTAGACCACTTTCAAGGTCTTTAACTGGGGAAGAAGCTTGAACTAGACCTGTGTTTTAGGAAGGTAACTCTCGTAGAGGAGTGGAGGATTGATCACAGGAAGGGGATGGGGGATAAGGACTCGTGTCAGAGAGGCCTATTAGGACCTGTGGGCATCTGGGCAGAGAAGAGGGTGGTATGTGCTAGGGCAGCAGCAGTGAGGATGAAGGGAGGAGGATGGACAAGTTTAGAGAAACATATCAGAGGATTTCCACTTCTAGGAATGGTAGATGAGATAACTTAAACCCTCTCTCCTCCTTGCTGAGGACACTAGGAAATCTGGATAAAAAAATCTTAACACTTGCTTGAAGGCATCAGAGAGCTGGCAGGAAAGTGAAGAGTTACTGGGCCAGGAACCAAGGGAGAATGGCAGTTCAGGAGATAAGCCAGGTATTTGGAACAGGTCTTCCCCTGGGGGATATTTGCTGAATCTGGAGGCAGTGACTGAAAAACTGAGCAGTACTAGACAGACATGAATTGGAGGCTGGAGTCTGCTAGGAGATGTGGGTCTGTCTGGTGAACCACGCCTCCACTTTGAGTCGAGATCATGAAGGACAGAACTCTAAGAGTAAAAGTGGACAAAAGTAGACAGCTCAGCCTCAAATCATGTCAGCGCTAGAAAGCAGATTGAGGTGAGCTCAGGTTGCTAGTGCCCCAGATTGCAGGTGCATGTAAGAAACAAACATGAATTCTCTCTTTAGAAAGATTATATCATCTGAGACCTCAAATTATTTTTGCAAACAATGTTGCAAATAATATGTCTGCCATGCAATAAAAAAATCATGAGAACAATGTGAACAAAAACCAGCAGGAAAAAAGACAAAAGAAACAGAGCCACAAGAGGTCCAAATATAGGTTTTATCAAATATGGACTTTAAAGTAATTATTCTGAACAAGATTGAAATTTTAAGAGTATTGGAAACTATCAAATGGAAAATCTAGGAAAAAAAAGCTACAAATGTCTAAAATTAAGAACTCGCTAGATGGGTTTAGTAACAAATTAGACACAGCTGAAGAGATAACTAGTGAACTAGAAGATAGGTCAGGAGATAATATCAAATGAAATGCAGAAAGACGATTGGAAAATAAAAGAGCAAGTAAGAGATACAGAGCAGTGATTTCAAACTTTATTGTGCGTACAAGTCACTTGGGGATCATGTTAAAATTCAGATTCTGATTTAGCAGGTCTAGGGTGGAACCTGAGATTTTGCATTTCTAACATGCTCCCAGGTGACACTGCTGCTGATCCATGGACCACATTCTGAATATCAAGGAAAAGACATAGAAGATATGAGAAGATAACCCAAAGAAAAGGAGAAAGAGAACGGAACAGAAGATAAAACTTCTGAAAACTTTTCAAAGGTGATGAAAGACTTCAGGCCACAGATGCAAGAAGCTCTACAAACTTCACAAGCAATGACTTAAAGAAATCCACACCTAGGCTCATCACACTGAAGCTGCTTGAAAAACAAACACAAAGAGAAAAATCTTTAAAGCAACCAGAGAGAAAAAAGACCAATTACCTTCAAAGGAACAACAATTAGATTGTCAGCTAACTTATCAGAAACACTGGAAGCCAGAAAACAAGACAATGGTATATTTAAAGTATGTATGAAAAAAATAGTTCTCAATCTATCATTTTATACCTAGCAAAAATAGTTTTCAAGACTAAGATTTAAAACAGACATTTTTAAACAGAAACTAAAAGAATTTATCACCAACATACCTGCCCTGGAAGAAATATTAAAGGGTATTCTTCAGCTGGAAGGAAAGTGGTCCCACATGGAATCTCAGTGATGTAGGAAGGAAAGAAGAGCCATTAACGGTGAATATATAGGAGGGATTAAAGTCAATACTGATCGCATAAAATGATGATGACATCATCTTAGGGGGGTCTAAAATATATACAGAATTAAAATATACAACAATGGCATGTAAACTGAGAGAGGGTAAATGGAAGTTCTAAGTCCTTGCATTGTCTGAGAAGAAAAGTACCAATTAATGCTATTAGACTTTGGTAAGTCAAAGATTCACGTTGTAATCTAAAAGCAGTGAAAGACGGTATAATGGCAAAACTAACGTAGAGGGAGAAATAGAGTGTTTTTTAATACTCAATCCAAAAGAAGGCACAAATACAAAGAAATAGAATAGGTGGGACAAATAGAAAGTGTTTAGTAAGACGGAATATTTAAACCGAAATATATCTATAATTGCATTAAAGATATATTGACTAAATTCTCCAATTAAAAGGTAAAGACTGTCAGGCTGGCTAGCAATGAAACAAAACCCAAGCATGTATTGTTTACAGGAGACGTCTAAAACATACAGGTATAGAAAAGTTAAACATGAAAGAACGGAAAAAGATAAAGACTATACGAAACTAAGAAAAAACTGGAATTTTGATATCAAATATAGTATGCATTATTAGAAGAACACCTTGTTATGATAGAAGACTTAATTTACTAGGCAAAACAGTTCTAAATTTTATGAACCTAATAATATAACCTCAAGATACACAAAAGTCAAAACCAACAGAACTAGGGGGATAAATAGATAAATCTACAATCATAGTGGGAGATTTCAACATGTTTCCCTCAATAACTGATAAGAAAAAAAGTATGCAAGGATAGAGAAGATTTGAACATTACAATTGCCTGGTAGCCATCCGTAGACCCACAGCCCCACCCCACATCCCCAAACTGCAGAGACCCCTAGCAGAGGCAGCAGTGGGAAGGGCAGAGTCGAGGATGACTGCCAGCCTCTGGGCTCAGGCCCCTGGGTAGATGGTGATGCTGTTTCTAGTTATTTTACTGAATCTAGAGTTGTTGACCACTTAACGTTTTTTAAATTGCGATAGGTGCTAAAAGCTGAGAGGAGGAAATGCAAAAATAATCATTGTTACAATTTATTGAGCGTCTTCTTTGTGTTAGGCACTGTGCCAAGTGTTTTATTTTAATTGGTACTAATTCTCACTACAGACCTTTAGTGTGGTTGTTATTATGTCCATATAGATGGGGAAACTGAGGCTCAGAGAGGTAAAATCAGTTGAATAGGATACCATCACTCTCTTCAAAGGAGCATAAAACCTCCCAGGAGAGAAGACGAGTCACAACAGTACAAGGGGAAGGCAAAGGAGAGTGTGGGAGCTTCCAGTCTCCCAGGCAGAGCCCTGGGGTCCCAGCCAGGCCCAGACATGGGGTTGAAGGGAAGGTCAGAACCCATGTGGACTGGGATCCACATAGGATGGACTTCTGAGCCAATTCTAAAGTAGACTTTCCCTCCTGAAAGCAGAAAGGGCCTAACCATCACCCCAAGGGCAGTGACCTGAGCACGTGGCAAGAAACGCAGTCACACACTGGCTGGCCACCAACCTCTGACCTTCAGGAGGAGGCCTGGTCTGTGAGTCTCCAGGGTCCCCGGCCAAAAAGAGCAAAATGGCCAGCATATTTGGCTTAAATGCAAGCCACTTGTAGAGCATGAGAGCTGGGATCTAGTTAGGGTCATAGAGGTCAAGATTAATTCCTCATGGGTTCTGTTTCTTTCTTGTGCTTCGTAAGTCCTTGGTTCTGGCCAAAGAGTTCTGAAGCTGTCCACTCCCTATGCCACCATCTCAAAGACTTTGTTCCACCCCAAAATGATCACCTCTGTTCTCCCACCTGTTTGCCATGCTAGAACCTCCTCCTTTAAACCATAGCTCAAGGATACCTCCTCCAGGAAGCTCTCCCAGATTGATCTCCCCACTCTCCCAACCCTGTCATTCTTTCCCAAAGGCTGTGTTCCTCCTTTCTCTAAACTGACCCAGCCTTCCCCCTGCTCAGTTCCAGGTCCCCCCGCTGGCATCAAAGCTGTCCCTTCATCTGCTAGCAGTGTGGTCGTGTCATGGCTCCCCCCTACCAAGCCCAACGGGGTGATCCGCAAGTACACCATCTTCTGCTCCAGCCCTGGGTCTGGCCAGCCGGTAAGTGGGCTCAGGGCCGAAAGATGAGCAGGACAGGAGAAAGGAAAAAGTACCCTACAGATCAATTAACTTCCAGGCCAAATCCTGGGGCTGCTTATATCTGTATTTCTATAGGATTCATGGAGAAGTATGGGCACTGATCACCTAAGAGTGGCTGAAGACGTACCCAAGTCCATCTTGGGTCAGTCCCCTGTTCCAGGGGCTGCAAGCTTGTCACAAGCCCTGGAAGTTCCTTTGAGTCAGAGGTCACATTCAAGCAGGTGGGAAAGGGAGGACAGAGCCTCAGTTAGGAAGGTCGTAGCAGACCCCAGAGGGCTGCACTGGGGACTGGCTAGTCCATGGCCTCTGGAAATGAATCACTTTTCAACATGGTCAGTCTGGGCTTGGAGGGTGGCTGGAGCTCTGCCCTGAGTGGCCCCCTTGGCATGGAGCCAGTTGAAGAGAGGAACAGATGGGGGATAGCTGAGAGGAGGCAAGGGCATCTCTGGGCCAGGGGTCTGGGGATAGCCGAGGGGAGAGCCCTGAGAGATGGTGCTATCTTCCCAAACCCGGGAGCACAGTGGGCAGCCCCCAGGCTGGGGCACAGTGCAGGGGCTGAGTGATGCTGAGAGGGGTCCGAGGGGCCCCAACAGAGAGGTAGGAGGAGATGAGGGTGGATACAGTGAGAAGTGCGCCCATATCCCATAATAAGCATCCTTCCCTCTGCCTCTTATCTCCTGCCACTCAACCACACACTGAGTTCTGCTGAGTGACTGCTCTGGAGCACACCTGTTCTAGTTAAGAGAGCAGGTGCAAAGACACCTGCCCTCAAGGCACTTCCAGTCGAGTAGGGGAGGCAGGGGGTGCTCCCTGAAGGGCCGTGAGTACTATCAAGAGATGTGCTTGGGACAGGGGAGGGCAAAGAGCAGGAAGAGGCCAGCTTCTCCCTCCATCAGCAGCTTATGATGTGACAGCAGCCCCAGCACCTGCAGATGAGCTTCTGGCAGCCTGGAAATCTAACCCTGAAATTGCTCAGTAATTGTGTCATCATCTTGTCCTCTGCTCTCTGCTTTCCTGTGGTCTTTCTGAATTACCCTCTGAGCCGTAGGTGGCCCCGCTCCTTGCCAGTGAAGTCAGAGTTCTATTACCAGAGAGGAAGCCCAGAAATATCTTTTTAGTGATTTCGTCCCCTCCTCTCCGTCCTCATGGCCACCACCTCATGTGCAGTGTGAGGTGACCATACAGCCCCATGAATTTTTACAGCGCACCCAGGCAAGCAGCAGGGGGTCCCCGGAGCAGGGAACAGGACATTACAACCCCCCAGAAGGCTTTCTTATGCCCCTTCCAGTCACTACCCCCCACCACTGCCAGCATAACCACCATCTTGACTTCAGATTAACATTGCCTCTTTTTAAATGTTTTATACACACACACACACACACACACACACACACTGTTTGGCTTCTCTGGCTCAACATTATTTTTGAATTTGTGAATTTCACCCATATTGTTGTGTGTGGTTAAAGATTATTCACTCTCACTTCTGTATCATTTTCAGTTGCTTGTGTGTCTCACAATTTATTTATCCATTGTGTTATCCATTGATAGGCATTTGGGCAGTTTTCCGTGTGGAGCTGTTACAGTCGGTGCCGCTGTGAGCACTCTTGTCCATGTCCCTTGGTGCTCGTGTTGTGTGTTCCTGTAGGGTGTATGCCTGTGAGAGGAACTGCTGGGTCGTGGGGCCTGCAGGTGTTAGAGGGCGAACACCCTGCCATTGTCGGGGGTTGTGCCAATTTTCCAATAAACTTACTCAGCCATGTCTTCTGCTCCTCTTTCCCCTCTCCTCCTGCCCCGCCTCCCCACACACATTCTAGGCTCTTGTTACACTAGGCTTGTCACCGTTCTGGACACCCGCTATGACTTTTCACTCCCCGGCACCTCTGCCCCTGCTGATCCTACCACAGCATCCTCTTCACCCTCCAGCACAGGCTGAATGCATTAGATGGCGATGAGCTGTTCACTCATCTGTCTCCCCTGCACTGGTCTGTGGGGCCCTGTGAGGACAAGGGCAGCGTCTTTTCATCTTTGGGCCCCTGGCTGCGGAACACTGTGCATGGAACTTCACTGTCACTGAATACATGTTTGATGAATGAATTACTAGCAGCCTGGCAATTGTAAAGCCTTAGATGTTGGGCAAGTTTCCCTTCATAAACTGATGAGAGGGTGGGTCCTCATTCTCCAGCTTGGGTTCTGCAACCATGACCTTGTCTGATAATGAAGTCTTTCAAAGGGATTGTATCAGGGAGCGCAGCCTCCTGATTAACTCAGGCCACCAAGCCCCAGTCCCCTGGTTGAGGACACCTCTTCCAGGCCCCAGAGCAGAACTTCTGGTCCCCGTCCCCTCCTCCTGCCACTAGAAACTCTCCTTTCTCTTTGTGTCCCAAGCATGGAGGAACCTCCTCTCTTCTGGGGAGATTTCCCATCAGACAACGTCACACGAGGGGCCAGGTGTGCTAGTGTGATGAGGACTTAAGTTCAACCACATTGCAAGGTAGGGACTGGGTTTAGCAGGGAAATGAGGGGACCTGACTATCACGTGTGATTGTGTGATGTGATCACTTTGCACAAATATATTCCAGATTCCAAACAACTGCATTATAAATTCATTTATGAAAGAGCTCCAGGAGGGAGGGCACACTTGTACGTGCCCATTTATAAGTGACAGTGCAAGATGGTGGATATGAGTGTGAGGTGAGAGGCAAATGCACATGAGTCTGAGTGTGCCCAGACACACTGTAGTGTATGAACTTGTGTGTGCGAAATCCTCAGAATAGATGTGGGAAACTGCATATGGTGCAGGCTCCCAGGAATTACACCCTGGGGTGGCCAGAGCTGCATTGTGTCCTGTTAGAAATTTTACCAAACATTTTAGTATGTTTGTTGTTTTTCTCTAATAATCAAAATAATATAATTTTATTGTAGAAAATTCTATAAATATCTAAAAGAATAAAGTAAAAATTGCTTGTACTCCCATTCCCTAAAGAGCAACACTGGCAATGTTTTGGTATATAATCTTCCAGTCTTTGATCTGTACTTATATGGTTCTGTTTTGGGGATTTTTTTTTACAAAATTAAAATAAAATTTTGCATAATGTTATATAACCTACATTTTTTCATGTAATCTGTGTAGGCACTTTCCCACACCATCAAATATTCCTTTTTATTAAAACATAGTTGCCATCAAATATTTTTTAAAAATATTATCTTGAATGCCTGTATGTACATAATCTATTTAACCAGTCCCCCAATTATTCTATTATATCTATTTTTAATTTTTCACCATTATAAATGATGTTTCATTGAGAATTCTTTGTAAAAGACTTCATGCACATGTTTTATTATTTTCTTAGGGTAAATTTCTTAGGAATTCCTGGGTCACAAAGAGTATGAATATTCTTAATGTGCATTCTTTGCATACACATTTGCAAATTACCCTTCAGAAAGTTTTCATCTATTTATGCTTCTACCAGCATTGTTAAATAGCATATACCTTTTCCTTGTGCCCATGCTAATCCAAGGTATTATGTATTTTTTATTTTTTGATAGTTGGATTTGGGAAAAAAGATATCTTGTTTTAAGCTATATTTCTTTGATTACTAGTCAGGTTATGTGTTTTTTTGGCTGTTTTATTTGTCTTTGGGTCATTGTCAATTCATGTCCTTTGTCCATTTTTCATTTGGGTGGATCATGGTTTTTTCTTATTGATTTGTAGGTGCTCTTTACTTATGAAGGATAATAACCATTTTGATCACATAGGTTGCAAGTACTGGCAGTTCATTACTTTCCTTTTGATTCTAGTTTTATTGTACCATAGGGTTTTCTTTTCATATAATTCATATTTATAAATCATTTCCATCTTTGATGTTTGCCTTTATCTTTTTGATTAGAAAGACAAATAAATATTTAATAATTTCTTCTTTCATAGTTTTGCCCTTTTTTAACCTTTGAGGCACTGGGACTTTATTTGGGAGTACAGTTGTGTGTTTGTAAAAGTGATTTCAGGAGATTCTTGGCAAGTCCAGGTTAAAAAGGAAGGCACCCAGGATCTGATACCTCCAAGGGGAAGCCAAACCTTTGTTGCTCTCTGTAGACACAAATGCACTCATGTACACACTGACACACACAAGCAAGTACACTCAGCTTTTCTCTACATATGTACACACACATACCCTCCTCAACTCTCGTAGGAAAATGCACCAGGAGAAGAACATGTCCCCATTTACAAAGGATTTGCACACCTCTTGCCTCATTTGCACTTCGTGGTAACCACACAGGGTAGGTAGAGCTGTATTGCTGTCTTAGTTTGCAGGAGAGAAACCTGAGGCCCCAGGAACCACGAGAGACACTATGGGTCATACAGTAAGAAGGCAGGCAGATGCCTCGTGCTCAGATGTGACCTGCAGATATGCACCCGATCCCCGAGCACTGCAGCCTAGCCTGAAAGGACTTCCCAACTACCAGGGCTCAGAGTGGCTTTCAGGAACCTCCTGAATTCAGGCCCAGATCTCCATAAGGAAAAGGCAGGAGGAGGAGTTTGCCGGGGAACGCTGTGTGTTGCGGGGATGCGTGTGCCTTCTCCCTGGCCTCTCCCGCAGACAGCCTGGGGCCAAAAAGGATATTTTTTTCCTGTTATAAGTCACTGGGCCCTTCAACCCTCCCATGGGGGACAGAGAATGTCCCTCTGACCCCGTATCTGTCCCTCAGCATGTGCATGGATGTGTCCACATGTCCCCTGTGCGTGTGAGTGTGTGCATATAAGCATGTGTGTGCAAGGTCCCGTGACTGCAGAGATAACTAATTATTAGCTCCCTCTGGCCTCAGGGCCCCCCATCTGTTCCGGGGGCTGCTCCCCCTCCCTAGACTTCCTCCCTGATTTCAAAGAGGCCCTGGTGCTGTCCTGCTTTCCCTTCCCCGCGGCTGACCAAAAAATAAAATAAAATGAAAGTCAGCCCCATCCCGCCTGCACCAGGGAAGGGGCTGACAGGAGGTCTGCAAACTAGCGCTTATCAAAAGCTCCTTCTCAAATTCATTTCAATATCTGAGCCTCTGGTTTCCAAGGCAACATAATCTTTTCATCAAAGCAACTGGTAAAACCACTGGGATCCGATATTGTTTTGTTGGCAACTTGTCAAAACTGTCATTTGGCTAAAAAAAAATTTATAGATTTATATAACCTACAAATACATACAGTGATCTATACCACTAATAATCATTAATAAAGTGTTGCCCCATTACGCTTTCATGGTTCCCTCTCCCACCCCTTCCTCCCCCGGACAGAGGAGTGAAGGAGCAGTAATAAGATGGCAGGGGTGGGAGGTGACTCTGAGCAGGGACAGGCTAGGGGAGCCTGTCTACAACCCTAATAAGGCAAATGCAGTCATTAAGCTTCTTCCCAGGGACCCTTTTCTCAGGGCTTTCCTGGGACCCTCCCCCCTCCATTCTCCTTTTTCCTGACTCCATCCATCTCTCACCTAAAACACACTCACGTTTCCTGGCCTGGAGCCATGGTGGTCAGTGCCTGGATCAGTTCCAAGAGGTGAACTGAGGCTGACCCAGCAACACTCCAGGTCCTTCGGCTCCCAGGTGTTGCTCCAAAACCAGAAAAGGCAAACTAGGCAGGATCCTGCCTGCCCTCACCCCTGACCCGGTCATCACCTCTGCTGAGCCCGGGGTCCCCAGGAAGGTTGGAGTTGGAGGCTGGAGGCCCGGGGGCCTCGTCTCAGTACACATTCGCCTCTGCCCTGCAGGCTCCCAGCGAATATGAGACGAGTCCAGAGCAGCTCTTCTACCGGATCGCCCACCTAAACCGTGGGCAGCAGTACCTGCTGTGGGTGGCCGCCGTCACCTCCGCCGGCCGGGGCAACAGCAGCGAGAAGGTGACCATCGAGCCTGCTGGCAAGGGTGAGCGGCCTGGGGCTGGGGCTTAGGGCAGAAGCTGCCAGAAGCCCCCTTCTAGAATCCTGGTTCTCCCCAAGTAGGGGAGGTCTCCCCTCCATACTATCTATGACCTGGCTGTAAGGAGCTGGCTGGCCACCTGCATCCCTCCTGCACCCACCAAAACTGGGCCTCTGCTGCCCCCTGACTCCCAGAAAGCCTCACAACAGGCTGGAGGCAGCACCGTTACCCAGGGGCTCAGGGCATAGCGCACCCTGGTCCCCGAATCCAGACTCTCCCCTGGGGTTGCAGGAGGAGGCATTAGCTCCACCCCCAGCCCGATGCTCAGCTCCTCCAGTAGGGACTGAGGTGGGGTACGCTGCTTCCACGGAGCAGAGAGCTGCAAAGACAGCCCCCTCATTCCAAAGCCTGGACACCTCAGGCAGAGGTGATCCTACAGAAGGTGATTCACTCGGTCAACAGACATTCATAGAGGGCAAACCATGAAGGAGGCTGCGGGCTGGATGGGGCGCACAGGGCGAATAAGATTTTATTTGTTCTTGTGGGGTGAACCCATCAAATGCCTGACCTGGGCATAAGTGTGGCACAGGGGTACGAACACCCTGACTTTGCAGGGAATGACAGTTCTCCTCAACGCCAGATCAAGACAGAAGCCGTCACTCAGAGCTGCTAGGCTGCCCCCCATGCCAACCCTGGGGCGTGGGATTTACCACATAAGCCCAAGACCCCAAGCCTCTACCTTAACTCTGGGCCTCCCTGGGTCCTTCCTCTTGGCCCTGCCTCCCACCTCAGCCACCCGGGCCCCAGCACCAGGACTCAGAGGGGGTGGTGCCTGCCTCAGCCCAGCCGCCCACCTGGGGTGACGTGCTTCCTTTGGTTGAGAAACAAGAGGCATCAGCCCTCCCCTGCCTCAGGGTAAGAGTCAGCCAGCACTGAATTGAGGGCCTGCAGTGGCCCAGGGCCTCCAGCTGCCTGCAAGTGGAGGTTGTTACCCCATTTTCCAGGGGACATTCTGCAGAAGGAGTGGCACAGCCTGTGAAGCCGGCTTCCAAGGGGGAGGGGCCCCTCTGGCTCCAAGTTGGGGCTCTTTCCCCACGGCCTCAGGTTGCTAACCCCCTGACCCCTCCTCCCAGAGGTGCTACCTCCTCCTGAACTGTCTCCTTCAGGAGGAAAGGGGCCTGGGGCCTCTGATCCTCGCAGGACTCCTGGCGCTGGCCTAGAGCCGGGCCTGAGGGTGCCTTCCCCTGTGGACATTAAACGTAACTCATTCAAGAGGGCATGTCCTCCTCTGACCTCACAGCAACCCTGGATAGCAGCCCCAGGAAGTGTTGTGGTAGAAGGTTGCTGAGGTAGGAGGGACGGGCCCTGCTGTTTCCTCTACACACACACACACAACCTGAGACACTGAGAGGTCCCGGGAGCCACCCCCAGCCACAGGGTAAGAACTAGGTCTGAAACGGGGTCTCTGTAATCCCTGCTGCTCTCCCTGAGCGCCCCCCCACAGTGGAGGCCACCTTAGCTGGGGCCCGTCTGCCCAGTCCAACTCTTTCAGCCCTCTGTGGTCCTCCACCGCCCTTCTCCTCAGCAGCCCCTCTGGACGCCACTACTGTCCCAGCCCATCGCCCCTGCACTGCCCTCACAGGAGAGGAGCCTCTATTCCCTGCACCCAAACCTCTAAGCACCGCTTCCCCGGCCCCCTTACATCTTCCCTCTCCCCAAGAAGGGACCCATGGCAGTTCGGTGGGGCTGGCTCTGGTCCCCTGAAGCACATGGTCACTTGGTTAATTTAACACTTTCAACTCCAGGCCTGGAATTCACCCTTCCCCACCCCAGTCACTGACCCTGAGCTTTGGTCACCCCAAAGGGTTTAGCTCCTCCCACTTGCCCTGTGTTTCAGGCGTCCATGCCTCTCAGTGCTGTTCCACGTCCTGACATCCTTTCTTTCTCTGCATGGTGACTTCCTTCTTAGCCTTCATGATTCAAGTCAAAGCTTCCAATTCCAGAAGCCACCCCTGGCCATCACTTCCACCGACACTGGCCAAGTGCATTCCTCCCTCTTCCTGCTTCTGGAAAGAATTGTATTTTTCACCCTAGTGATTTTTTTTAAGTGTCTGTCTCCCTCTTGCATGGTGAGCAATGTAAGGACAGGGAATAGGTCTTATTCATTTTGTGGGTCCTCAGAGCCGCCTGTGATGCCTGGCCCAAGCAGGTATTTGATAAATGTTTGTTGAATCGATGACTCCCATCAGAAATTCCCTGCACTCAGCCCCCACCCCAAGCCCAAGGTAGCAGTCAGGTAGGGGAGGGAGGATTTGAATTGTAAAGTCAGGAGCCCTGAGAAAGGGGGGCCAGTGCAGTGCTGGGGGTAAAAGTTGGGTGGCCCTCTCTTCCCTGTAGCCCCAGCAAAGATCATCTCCTTTGGGGGCACTGTGACAACACCCTGGATGAGAGATGTCCGGCTGCCTTGCAATTCCGTGGGAGATCCAGCCCCTGCTGTGAAGTGGACCAAGGACAGGTGTGTGCAGGACCCTGCAGGGATGGACAGAGCAGAAGAGCCATGAAGAGACCCGGGTGTCCTGCCCTTCCAGCTGACTCAGTCACCCCTAGCCGTGTGGAGGCCCTGCTGGATACCCAGCTACCACCCTCACAAGCAGGCCTGGCCTCCTTGGCTCCCCTCTGTTGGCTGCCAAGGATCTCTCTTCCCTAAGTGGTTGAAGAGGCCAGGGTTATTGGATAGCAGCCCCAGGAGGTGTTGAGTAAAAAGCCAAGAATCCAGGGTCCCCTGGCCAGCCCCCTAGGGCTCCCAGCTCTAATTGCCTACATGCCTGGGGGAAGCTCCAGAGGAGGAGCTGTTTGCCGTAACCCATCTCCCCCCGCAGTGAAGACTCGGCCATCCCCGTGTCCATGGACGGCCACCGGCTCATCCACACCAACGGCACGTTGCTGCTGCGCGCAGTGAAGGCTGAGGACTCGGGCTACTACACCTGCACGGCCACCAACACCGGGGGATTCGACACCATCATCGTCAACCTTCTGGTGCAAGGTGAGATGCTGCGAGGCCAGCAGGGCTCTGGGGGGACAGGGATGGAGAAGGGGGAGGAATTCCATTGGGTGAGCGAGAGGGCCATTGAATGGAAGACCAGCTTCTGGGGAGACAGGCTCTCAGTGGGTCAGAGGGACCACTGGAAGAGGAGGCAGGAGGGGTGGGGCGGAGAATGAGCAGGGGTGAGGGAGGCACCAAGAGGGTACCCTCATCCCCTCATCATCAGAGGTTAACCCTTTGTGGTGAGGGCTCGTGGCTCTCCCCTCACAGTTCCCCCGGACCAGCCCCGCCTCACTGTCTCCAAAACCTCTGCTTCATCCATCACCCTGACCTGGATTCCAGGTGACAATGGGGGCAGCTCCATCCGAGGTGAGAAGGGTCTGGATGAGGAGCGGGAAGACAAGGGAAGGAATTATGGGCCGAGGGGCAGGGGAAGGGCTTCACCCACTCCCACCACTTGTCCCCATAATGCTTACTTAGCAAATGATGGGGGGAGGGGCGACTTGGACCACACGGAAGTTACTCAAGGGCCATGGAAAATATACCAGCCTAGACGTCTAGGCTTTAGAACACCCACCCCGCTTGTCACTGGTGGGCTGTGCAAGCCTGAAGAAGTCAGTTTTTGTCTCTGGGCCTTAGTTTCCAAATCTACAGAAGTAACAAGTGTTCCAGACAGCGCTTCTCAAACTTGAACTTGCATAGGAACCACCAGGGGATCTTGTAAGAATGCAGATTCTGATTCAGGGGGTCTATGGGTGGGGGCTGAGAGTTTGTCTAACAAGCTCCCAGGTGATGCTAATGCTTCAGGGTCAGGAGTGGAGTAGTAGCAGGGTCTAAATAGGACCCCTTTTCAGCCTCACAGCTCTGGCTTCTACTCCCCTCCCCACCTTGGAGCCGAAGGGAGAGAGCAGTAAAATTCACTGAAGGTCCTTACAGTTTTGCATCTAATTTGCATCCGCTCTGTCCCAATGGCCAGAGGCCCCCCGCCCCCTACAGAGCCCAACCCCATGATGCTTGTCAGGGTACCCCAGGCCCCGCCCTGCCCCCCCTGAGCCAGGCAAACCTCCCGGGCAGGCTTCGTGCTTCAGTACTCAGTGGACAACAGCGAGGAGTGGAAGGACGTGTTTGTCAGCTCAAGTGAGCGGTCCTTCAGGCTGGACAGCCTCAAGTGTGGCACGTGGTACAAGGTGAAGCTGGCAGCCAAGAACAGCGTGGGCTCCGGGCGCATCAGCGAGATCATCGAGGCCAAGACCCACGGGCGCGGTGAGGCCTGGGCCTGGGTGGGAGGCAGCCAGGGTACGGAAAGAGGGAGGGCACAGGGAAGCATGGAGACTCAGGGAGACCCCACCTAGTTCCCATCACTGTAGCATCTGGATGAATCATAGCGGGAAAAACTGGCCCCACTTCCCTGCCAGGGGTAGCAGATGGGCAGCCCTCCTCTTCCTTCTTCTTGCATCTCTCTTCCTCCTTGGCTGGGCCTTTCTCCCCAGGTCCTTCTTCCTCTCCTCTTATTCCTCCTCCTCTGCTTCCTCCTCCCATCCGGGCCTCCCTTTGATCCCCCAGTGCCACTGCAGTCCCAGCTGCCCCAGGGAAATCCTTCCCAGCGTCTCTAACCGCTGTCTTTCCCTCTGGCCCCCTCAGAGCCCTCCTTCAGCAAAGACCAGCACCTCTTCACCCACATCAACTCCACGCATGCTCGGCTCAACCTGCAGGGCTGGAACAACGGGGGCTGCCCCATCACAGCCATCATGCTGGAGTACCGGCCCAAGGGCACCTGGGCCTGGCAGGGCCTGCGCGCCAACAGCTCCGCCGAGGTGTTTCTGACCGAGCTGCGAGAGGCCACGTGGTACGAGCTGCGCATGAGGGCTTGCAACAGCGCTGGCTGCGGCAACGAGACTGCCCAGTTCGCCACCCTGGACTACGATGGCAGTGAGTGGGAAACGGTGGGAGGGGCCGGAGCCAGCTGCTGCCAGGGGAGCAGGCAGAGAGGCAGACAGATAAAGAGGTAGACAAGCAAATAGAAAAAGAGGCAGGACTGTAGTCAGGGACAGAGGCTGACAGGTGACTAAGCTAGCAAAGGTCAGGCAAAGAGGGCAGGACACTGGTAGACAGGTAAGTAGGTAGACGCACCTGTGATCCACAGGTCACAAACACTAGGTCGGTAACACTAAAGACAGAGGGTCTTTGAAGGTGCACTTGCTCTCTGTTGCTTCAGTGAGATGGAGTTAGAGGTCCTGCCATGTAAGAACCCTCTGCTAAGATGGTATATTAGTCAGGATTGGGTAGCCTATGTTGCAGTAACGGATAAACACTAAAAGCTCCTTGGCTCAACCCAATAAAGATTTGCTTCTCACTCTCATAACATCTTGTGAGGGTTGGCTGGCCACCAAGTTCTAGCTGTGCCATGTAGCCTTCAAGGTCACCAACAAGAGAGGCAGAAAAGGCACACCAGTTCCTAGCAGCGCTGGCCAGGAGGTGACACTCCTTACTTCTGTTCACACTCTGTTGTCAGAACTAGCAATATGGTTCTCATCGAACCACCAGGAAGTCTGGGGGATGTAGATGAGCACGTGGATATGTGGTGAGCACTAATCGGAGTCTGCCACGTGGGGATACCTCACACACAAGCATTTAAGGCACATAGAAGGCTGAATTCACAGGGACCAGTTGTCACAAGCTAGATTAAGTCTACCTAGGTCTTAAGGAAACAGAATAAAAGTGGTATCGGAAGGGGTTGGGCTCCAACAGGGAAGCCTTCATGAAGGAGATGACTCTTAGGTAAGGTTTTGAAACAAGCAAGCATCAGGGCTTGGCAGAAAGCTTGCCAGCAGGAGAACTCATCATTGCCTCCTTGCGGCCCCCAAGGTTAGCGGATATTGCCTATGAGACTAGGGGGAGGGAGAAAATGCAGGGTGTTTAGTGGCTTTTGCCCCCATCACCCAGGATCCCACTGCCCTGACTTCTCCCTACTGTGAGCCTCACCGTCCCCCCCACAGCCTTACCAACTGGATATGGGAATCTCAGCCCATCAATTCACCCTCTAGAACTGAACACTGAACTCCAACAAGCAGGAGACTCTGAGAATTCAGGATAATTCTAAAACAGGCCTAGTGAGTCATTAATATCATCCCAATATAAAAAAAAAACTAGTTCATGGCTGTCCTGATGGGAGCAGAATTTGAGGGAGCAGAATTGGGGGGTTGGGGCTCTGCACCAGGAAGTAGAGGCCAGAGTGAGACCAAAGGTAGCAAGAGAGGTCAAAGGGCTACCTTGCCCCTGAGACAGCATAACACTCAACTCACAAGGGACATCTGATCTGACTCCCTACGTCACCTCTGTTCAGGCACCATCCCGCCCATCAAGTCTGCACAAGGCGAGGGGGATGACGTGAAGAAGCTGTTCACCATCGGCTGCCCGGTCATCCTGGCCACACTGGGGGTGGCGCTGCTGTTCATCGTGCGCAAGAAGAGGAAGGAGAAGCGGCTGAAGCGGCTCCGAGGTGGGCAAGTTTCCCACTGGCTTCCTGGGAGGGAGTGTTGACCCTCAGCCCCGCCGGCCACTTCCCATGGACTCTCAGCACCATCTGCACAAGAGAGAGTGCCTGGGTCCCCTTGAAGGAAGAGCTGCCACTCCAACCTTCTGAACCCTCCTTAGTTGTTCACTGCTTCCTCCTCTATGCCCACAGGACTTTGTGCCCACCCTAACCAGGGCTGACCTTTAGAGGTACACCTTGGTGGAAACCATATTGCTTGTTAAAATATTTAAACATTTCCATGTTGGTTGTAAATAGATGTTGCTCCCTTCTACCCTGGATGCTTCATTCTCTTATACAGGATCCCTGTGACTTCCCTATGAACCCGGCCACTAAAGAGTAGACCTGCAAGTTGTCTCTAGGACCTTGACTAGCTTTGACTGAGCAGTTTCCATGCCTTGTCAGTTGTTAAATATTTTTAATGTCATCCCCTGTCCCAACACCTGATACCATAACCTGGCATGAATGGGTTTGATTTACCTCAATTTTTCCAAGGCCAATTAGTTGCTTGATGAATGTCCATTCACTCATTTGGAAAACATTTATTGAGTATCTTCTGTATTGTAGCTACTGCCAGACATTGGATATATAAAGATGAATGAAGAGGAAACAGTCCATGCCCTTCTAGGGTTTATGGTCTAATGTGAGAAGTAGGGCACAGTAACATCACAGAAGAGGGACTGACTAAGACTACCTAGGGTGTTTAGGAGTTGGGTAGATGAACGGATGGTTGGATGCATTGATAGTTGAATAGATAGATGGTTGGATCAATGGATGGATGGATAGATGATTGTATGGTTATATGAATGGATGATTGGATGATTAGTTAAATACATGAATGAATAATTAGATAAATGGTTGGATAGATGGTTGCACAGATGATTAGATGGTTGGATGGGTTGATGGTTGAATGGATGAATGGTTGGATCAATGGATGGATGGATAGATGGGTAGGTAGTTGAATGAACTGATGATGGACAGGTAGGTGGATGGTTGGAAGAGTGGACTGAAAGGTGGATAGAGTAATGATGACTGGGTGGATGGGTGGGTAGATAGATGGTTAAATGCATTCATGCAGCTAGATTTGCTCTAACAAATCATTCTTCATTGTCTGAGGTCTAATGGATTAACTAGGGCCTTTGCTTCTTCTCTCTTGTCAATTCCTAACCTGAGAGTCCAGATCCTATTCAAGGCCCCTCTGAGACAAAGCAGTGACCCTCAAATCCATCCATGGACTTTTTGAGGCCAGATGCTCTAGAGAAGGAAATGAAGCTTCTTGGTTGATGTCATCTGGAGGTGCCCATTCACCACCTCTACTTCATCCCCCAAACTCTCCTTTCTCCAACAGATAACTGAGGATAGACCCACCACTGATGCCCATTTCCAGCCTGCTATGATGTCTTGTTTAATTAGAGTCAATTCAGGAACCAGATGGAGCACTTTATATATCCTCTTCTTTGGGAAGGACCGCCCTATTAGATAAAAATCTGAGGAAAGGAAAACAGACCTGAGCCAAATCCTGAACTGGGAGTAGTGAGACCTTATCATGTGTTGGACTATCTCAGAGGTCCTTACATTGCCTCCCAGGAGCCCAGCCCTGGCCCCATTTTAGGGAATTCTCCCACCTTGTTCCCCATGCGTCTTTCAGTTCTCATTCTTCTGAGACTCCATTCTCACTCAGTCTCCTCTCTCTTCTGTTTTGCAGATGCAAAGAGTTTGGCAGAAATGTTGATAAGGTGGGTGTCACATAACTTCATCCTCTCTCCTCCACCCCCCTCCCCCACTGCCGGGCTTCCAAGACCCCGCTATCCTGCAAAACCCCTCCCCCACCCCTTATGGCTCTGAGTCACCCACCTCCAGCTCTTCTCCCCACAGCAAGAACAACCGAAGCTTTGACACCCCCGTGAAGGGGCCACCCCAGGGCCCGCGGCTACACATTGATATCCCCAGGGTCCAGCTGCTCATCGAGGACAAGGAGGGCATCAAGCAGCTGGGTGAGTGACAGGTGCCATGAGCTCTCTGTCCTGTTCTGAGCGTGCTTTCCCAAACCATAACCCATGAAGGGCAGCCATGGGTCCTCATACAATGCCCAGGGTTCTAGTATTAGCCCCGCCAACAACTCAACAACTTGAGAACTCGTTGAAGCTTCTCTCAAGAGCTATGTTTCCTCCTCTGTTAATGGGAAGAATTGGCCTGACCTTTCTTGGTTTCAGTGTTGGATAAAGACAGAGAAATTTGGGAAGCAAAGATGGTGCCCAAAGGGAAGGCTTCCTGCTGATTTTACTTCTTCCTCCAGGAGATGACAAGGCCACCATCCCTGTGGCGGATGCTGAGTTCAGCCAAGCTGTCAACCCTCAGAGTTTCTGCACCGGTGTCTCGTTGCACCACCCAGCCCTCATCCAGAGCACAGGACCCCTCATCGACATGTCTGACATCCGGCCAGGCACCAGTATGCATTCTCCCCAGGGAGACAGCCCTCCTCCCACACGGGGATTTTTGGGCACAGCATAAGGCAGAGGTGACTTTTATTTTTTTTAAGTAGGGAGGAGCAGGATGGAAGAATGGAAAGAGCACTGGAATTAGAGTCCAGAGACCTTGACTGCAGACTCACTAGCTATGACCTTAGGCATGTCACTAACCTTCTCTCTCTGGGCCTCAGTTGCCTTACCTAGAAATTTTAAGAGGGTTAGGTGTTCTTTCTCTCCAAGGGCCTTTTGTATCTGCCACTGTGACTCTGGACATAAAGCTAGACCACATCAAGGACTGTAGGGAATGAAGAGAGAGTCATGAGGCAGCAGGAGAGAAGGTGACTGTCTTCCCAGGCTGAAGGAAAAGATGGGGTGTCTGGGGAGGATGAGGGTGCCACCCACCGCCCACATGCCTCCACACTGTGGCTCTCCCCCTCCATGGATAGCTGTGTGGTCCGGGAAGGCGGCGCACTCAGCATTCCCAAGGGAGCTCCTGTGGCTGCTTCTGCCTCTTCCCTTGCTCCCCGCTGCCCTTTCTGGTAAATGCCAGCTGCCCAAGCCTGAGTGCCCTCAGTTGGGAGGTGCTAGCTCTTGCTTCCTCTGTGCAGATCCAGTGTCCAGGAAGAACGTAAAGTCAGCCCATAGCACCCGGAACCGGTATTCAAGCCAGTGGACTCTGACCAAGTGCCAGGCCTCCACACCCGCCCGCACCCTCACCTCCGACTGGCGCACTGTGGGCTCCCAGCATGGTGTCACTGTCACTGAGAGTGACAGCTACAGTGCCAGCCTCTCCCAAGACACAGGTAAACCAGGGATCTGCCTTCGTCCTGCTCGCTCTCCTCCAGCTCCCCCATTATTCATTTCCACCTTCTGTTTTCCCAGCTCCTACTCACCCGATCATGGGGTCCAAGGCCCAAGTCAGTTTCATTTCCAGCTGCCCACTGACTCACTCTGTGGCTGTGACAAGAACGCTTGACCCAGCCGAGCTCTGCTTGGTGAAGGATTTCATTTTGCCCTCCCAAAAGATGACAGAGCTAATGGTACACAGAATGTTTGCTGGAAAAAAGGCTGAGTGTCACTCAAGAGGTGGTTGCATATTATCAAGAATGAAGGATGTTCGGCCCTTCATTAGTCACAGATCTGCCACCACCACTGCCTTCACAGGGGGAGAGCAGGATCTTGTGAGCCTGGTCCACTCCATAGTCCGGCTTTCAGTGGCTGCCAGGGGGAACTGCTCAGTCTGGTCTCATTTACACCTTTCTGCCCATAAACCCACTCATTCCCTTTATTTTTTATTGAGCTGTAACTGACATATAATATTTAGTTGCGGGTGTACAACATAATGATCTGGTATTTGTGTATATTGCAAAATGATCACCACAGTAAGTCTAGTTAACGTCCATCACCACACATAGTTACAGTTTTTTTTTCTTATTCTTACAATGAGAACTTTAAAGATCTACTCTCTTGGGGAAGGGTAACAGCTCAGTGGTAGAGCATGTACTTATCATGCACAAGGTCCTGGGCTCCATCCCCAGTACCTCCACTAAAAAAATTAATAAAAATTAAAATCTACTCTCTAAGAAACTTTCAGATATTCAGTACAGTGTTATTAACTATAGTTACCATGCTGCACATTACATCCCCATGAGTTATTTGTTTTATAACTGGAATTTTGTACCTTTGGACCACATGCACCCTTTTTGCCAGCCTCTCACCCCCACCTCTGCCAATCACCAATCCATTGTCTATATCTGTGAGCGTGGGGGTTTTGGTTTTGGTTATCAGGGATTTTTTTTCTTTTTTTTTTAAGATTCCACATATAAGTGAGATCATACAGTATTTGTCTTTCTCTGATTTATTTCACTTAGCATAATGCCCTTAAGGTTGATTCATATCGTCTCAAATGGCAAGACTGCCTTCTTTTCTAGGCTGAATAATATCCCATTGTATGTATATACACCACAGTTTCTTTATCTATTCATCCCCACCCCACGTGGAGACTTAGGTGCTTCCATGTCTTGGCTGTTGTAAATCATGCTGCAGTGAATATGGGGGCGTGCCGCTCATTTCCTCTTAACTCTGTGCCTTCCATCCCCCCAAGACAAAGGGAGGAACAGCATGGTGTCCACTGAGAGTGCGTCTTCCACCTATGAGGAGCTGGCCCGGGCCTATGAGCACGCCAAACTGGAGGAGCAGCTGCAGCACGCCAAGTTTGAGATCACCGAATGCTTCATCTCCGACAGCTCCTCCGATCAGATGACCACGGGCACCAACGAGAACGCTGACAGCATGACATCCATGAGCACGCCCTCAGAGCCTGGCATCTGCCGCTTCACCGCCTCCCCACCCAAGCCCCAGGATGCTGACCGGGGCAAAAATGTGGCTGTGCCCATCCCTCATCGGGCCAACAAGAGTGAGTACTCAGACCACCTCCTTTGCTGTGTCCCCTGCCCCCAAACCCGGTGAGCCCTGGCTCGACCTAGCCCTAACTGCGCCGGATCCTGCCAGCCCAGGGTGGCTCCTGGGCAGGGGTGGGTGGTGCAAAAAGCAAGGACTTGGGAACAAGCAGATCAGGGTTCACATCCTGCCTCAACCGCTTAACATTTCTGTGACCTTGCAAGTCATTTAGCCTCTCTGGCCTTAATTTCCATGTTTGTAAAATGCAAATGAGAGCACGTACTTTGCATTGTTTTAATGAGCATTAGAAATGATATATGTGCCTGGCACATAGCAGGTTCGCATTAAGTAGTGATCATTCCCTTAATCTGAGGCTTTGCCAGGATGGAAGGAGACTGCTTACAGGCTCAGCTAACCAATGGCCATGGGTCTCAATGCTGTTTGAAGTTAATCTAGACCCAAAGGAGCCATCCTGGCAGCTCAGCCTGTGGTCACCAAACCTCATGGTGGTCCGTGACCTGGCCTGACTGGGAACCATCTGACTCCAGGGCCCTGGCCAGAGCATATGCCCTTTGGGGTCAGCAGGGAGGGTCTAGGGTAACCCGGAGGAGGGGAGTAGGGAAGCCCACCAGCAGACATTAGGGCCATAGTCTGCAAGGCTCAGACTGTCAAACCAGGCAGTCTGGTCTGCTCAGCACGGGCCTATGCTAAGTGACCATGCCAGCCCAGGGGCTCAGGGTCATCCAGAGAAGAGCCTGGGGTGACAGAAAGGACAAAGACGTGGGAGACCAGCAGCCGGGAATGACCCTCCCACCCCTCCCAGCTGTGTGAATTTGGGCAAATTACTTAAATCTCTCTGAGCCTCAGTCCCCTCACTTGTAAAATTCGGGCAAGTATTAACCTATGCGGTGGGGGGCTGAGGGGACTAAACGAGGCCCCTGAGGAAAGCGCCTGGCACAGTGGGCAGGATAGAGGCATGTGCAAGGCCCGGGTGCTCACAGAGCAGAGGGATCAGGATGTGGGGTTCCCAGAAGCATGTCCCCTGGAGGCACTTTAAGAAATTAGGAACATTCTGCCTTGAGAAGCAGGATGAAGGAAAGGGATGAGAAAATGCAGCTGACGTCATCCAAAAGGCTGCGGTGGGAAAGGGGTGGGGGCGGCCTGGCCCTGTGAGTCCTCAAGGGCCGGAATCAGGGTAAATGTAGGGAGGTGACAGGGAGTGACATTCCTTTCCTCCTGGGGTAGAGAAAAGCTTTCTAACAGCCAGAGCTCTCAGGAAGTCCCTGTGTGAGAAGTGAACTCTGCACCCGCTGAAGCTGACCAGCTCTAGGGAGCAGTTAAAATTAGGTGTCAGTTTACTGCGCAGCGTGGCAGCCGCTGCCTAGAGGCACTTTCTGTACTTTGTCTCATTCCCTCCTCCCACTATTCCTGTGGGGAAATGTGAATATCCCCATTTCCTAGATAAGGAAACTAAGGCTCAGAGAGGCCAACTAACTGATGTTTACTTGACTCTCCTGCCCACTGGGTTGGAGGGACGCCTGTGCCAGATCAGGGAGAGGACTGAGGGTGGGCGTGGGGGGACAAGCTGGTTCCCAGGGGCCTCTGCTGCTGACACCCTCACCTGCTGCCTTCCAGGTGACTACTGCAACCTGCCCCTCTACGCCAAGTCGGAGGCCTTCTTCCGAAAAGCAGAGGGGCGCGAGCCCTGCCCCGTGGTCCCGCCTCGCGAGGCCTCCATCAGGAACCTGGCTCGAACCTACCACCCCCAGGCTCGCCACCTGACCCTGGACCCTG